AGCATATTGGCTTACAAGTATCATCTGGCACAAAGCTAACTCAATCTCTCTGAAAACCCTTTCTGTGAGCTTATGGATTTGAGTCCATCTGCTGAATTTTCTTTTGTGTTAAAGGACTCTGAACAAAGAGCTGTCCTACTGCTTTGAATTTCCCATGACTTTGTTTCTAGCGTGTTCAACAAATGAGGCCTTTCAAACCCAGTACTATGAACTGAGTGAAAATAGGAGCTTTGTATAAATATTTACTCTAGTATTGAATTCAGGAGGTAGAGAGTAGGCAAGAAGTCAAACTATAAAATTAATTTTTTTGATGGTGTTGCTTCCTAATAGAATTTCACGGTTGTTTTTCCCAAATGCTGTGCAGTGAGACAGAGCCAGGCAAGCTAATATAACCTTGCAGCTTTTCCCCATGATAGCATGAAGAAACATTAAAACATAGCTGGGTGCTTCATCTGTGAAAACCATGGAAAACCTCGTGTCGAAAGTCTGGTCCATTGAAATCAGTGGGAATTTTACCACTGACTGTAGGGCTGCGTAGGGACTGTACCACTGACTGAGAGGGCAGGATTCCACCCAATGTCAGAGCTAGATATTTTACTCCATTTTAGTGTGAGTTGTTTTTTGGTTTTTTGTTTTTTCCTCATTGTAAATTTTGTGTATTAGTTTTCTACCACTTTCTCACCTATTATTTTTCTGCCTCCTCAAGCAGCATGGAGGAATCCCTTCCAGGCACCACAGGTAGGAGCTATGGGAATGGTGTAATCTTGTACAGGTGTTTAGAGATCCCTCCCTGCTTTGCTTTCAGACAGATGGACGACAGCATTGCTAGAGCATCTGCTGTTTGCAGCAGTAGTACCTTACTTATCTTCTTGACTAACAGGTATGCAACATGATAGCTTCACATCTTCAGAAGTGCAAGGATCTTATCGAAATGGTGTCCAGTAAAATTAGTCACCTGAAAAGGCAATTTTAGACCCCTGAGACGTAGTTGACAGAGTGCTGGTGGAAACGATCCTGTTCTAAACACAAGGAAGAAGCCACAAGGTCATTGTCCTGTCCTGTGGTACAGAAGGAGAAACCACACTGGATCTAATCTAAGACTACTGGGCTGCCAGATAGTCTCCTACCAGGTGCCGCTCTTACCATAAAGCAGCTGAATGCATGGCACCCAGACTATTACAAATGGGTTATTCAGGGAGAAGGTAAGGATTCTGGCTATGAAAATATGTTATCCTCAGCAAACTTCAGAAATGTCCTTTTTTTAGGAAAATCTTCGTGGATTATTGGGAAGTTTTGCACGGTGCCGACAAACTCCAGAATCCCTCACTGGGGACATTGAAGGTTTATCTAGAGCATGTTATTCAGAAGTTCATAGTTTAGTTACAGACCTCAGACTAATTTTAGGCTCAAGAATGTAGATGCTCTGGCTAATTTTCTGGAGGTGCTGATCCTCTCCACCAAGCAGGGACCACTGGGGAAAAAGCCCAAAGCTAGTCTTCATGAATATTTTCCTAACTCACTGAAGAGCCTGGCTCCAGCCACTGTGTCTGGAGCTGACTGTCTACCATGTACCCTATTCTCATAGGTATAAAGGCCAAAGATGACTTTTCATGCTCAAGTTTAAGAAATAATTTCCCCTAACATGTTCAGTTTGAAACAGAGAAGGAAAAGACCTAATAATTCATCTTTTACTGAGATTAGAAACATTTTCTCTGCAACATAATCTGAAACTGTTCTTTTAAAGCTCTAAGCACCTTTTTTGTCTTTAGGAACAATATTTTTATTCACTTACTTAGCTTTATTTGTATTTACTTAGCTTAGATCTCCAAAACGACTAATGCATTTTTTCAAGATTTTGGAGAGGGCAGAGGAAAAAGGATCAAAATGCTACCAAGGTAAGAAGACATAAATAATACACACTTTCTGAGCTGCAAATGAGCGTGCCATTTCTGAGTGTTCCCATTAATTGGTCCTCAGCTCTCCCTTAGCATGGTCTGTGCATACTAAGTGCCACACATAATTAACAATCACTAGATGAAGACCATCTCCTAGAAACTGCAGTGCCATGGGTGAGACTTTTTTTTACCCCCACAAAAGCTGGAGCAAAGTGAGGGCCTCCCACATTTTCTGAGAACTGCAAAGCAAGACAAGCAAGTTAAAAAAATAAATAAATTGAAGAATAAAAACCCCCCACAAAGAAACAAACAGAAAAGTGTCATTTGATTCAGCACTGTTGGTAGCACCCTCTAATTCAGAGAAGTCAGTTGTCAAGTGGATTATCCAGAAAATAAGATGGTGATCAAAGCTTCATGTTTCAGTTTGACAAAAAAAAAATTAACCCATAACAGCAGATTCTCCTTCCAAATAAAAGTGCCACTGACTAGCTATGGCTGTATAACTTGCAAGGAAAACAAAAAAATCAAAGAAAGCTCAGTGCATGCTTAATGGAAAGATGAAAAATCCCAAACTTTACTGATAAAAAAGAGATGTAAAACTTGTGTAAGCCGCTCTCTGGTTATCTCTCCCTTTCACATTTAAGAGGCACAGCAGATGAATAATGGGTATGTATCCCAGAGTTGCTTTATTTTTCAATTACTTCTGCTGTCTTTACCACCAGAAGAACTTTAAAATGTTCTGCCCTAAACTATCTTAATGAAAAATAAATTCTCTACAGCCTGTAGATCTGTGAGATGAGACAAAGAAGTGGTTTGGTGAAGTGCAGCTTAGCAAGATATTAGAATTAGTAGCAGAAGCAGGTTGAGACCTCACTCCTCAGCACAGAGTGAATGTCTCTCCTTTACATGACACAGATCCTGCATGCAGTGCAGGATATAATCTATTCCCTGAATTTTTACTGGACTGCTAATGCCTAGCATATGGAGAAATCAAAAAATAACGAACCATCATGAATATTTGTATTAAGCCTCGGGGATGCTCCTGTTGCTCATCTCTAAATACCAATGAGGTGTTTTAGGAGCGATGTCTGGCTGGTTCTATTTTCAAACAAAACTGTTCGCTCTTACCTGGGGCCAATCCATGAAAGCTTCCACTTGCATTATTTTGACATTGAATAGTCTAATTGACTCTACCACTAACTGTGTTTAAGCACCAGAGAAAACTGGTGCAAAGTAGTCAGCTGTGACATCAAAAGTGTGTTGGGGTCTGTTTATTCAAGGGGTCATTTTTGAAATGTTCGAGGCAGAGGCTGGTCCTTGGACCTCCCAGTGCTTCGGCACTCTGCTGCGATAAGTCCCCCGCTGAGGGAAGGCTTTCCTCCACCCAGGCTCTGGGGCAGATTCACCAGTCAGAAATTCAGCCCTGGTCTTGCGCTCCTATGGGTCAGACTGTAGGAGGGAAGGGGCTCTGCAACCCTCTGTGTTGCACCGTGGAAGAATTCACACGCTGGCACTGCTCCACCTGAAACAAGAGAGCAAGCCTTGCTATAAGAAACGCTTGTGTCAATGCCACCACAAACCAGTTGCTGGTAACAAATACAGCAGACCAGTGTATGTGGCTCTGCCTTCTCGTAAGTATGATTTAACATACAAAGGCAGTTGTGGCATGGAGTTAGAGATTTTTCTAATGGGCTAATCAGCACTCAAGGACCATAAAGAGCTGGTGTTCAGGGACGTGAAGGATTTTTGCTGGTCTGCAGAGTAAACAGATGTATAATGCCATGAAACTGTGGAATGTGTTGAAAGCATATGGAAAGGGGTTTCCTGACCACGTGTTTCAATAAATAAAAAATGGCATTTCACATGGTTCAAATCATGACAGAGCACTCAGCTTCACTAGATGCCAAGCAAAAGTCAGTAGTCTGACGGGCTGATTGAAGGAAGCCGTCTGTGTAACTTAGGGTAATAAAGTCCTATAGCTGCATCAACCCTTTCTGAGATACAACACAGCATGCCAGACATCGGGAAGCCTGGTACACTGGAATGGACTAACTCTACAAAAACATAACCATAGACAGGAATTTAATATATTTTTAATTCAGCCATTTTTAAGAATCATTTTTAGCCACACGTTTACATGTAGGCATTTGCTGGGAGGGGAGGGAGGCAGGGCAACAGAGGTTTGTCTGTTTTACTTTTCTAGTAATTTTAAGTCAAAGAAATAGCTCTGGCTAATACCTGGCAGGTATTAAAACCATCTACTATTTTTTAACTGTGCTGGATGGAACAGTTGAACCTTTTCAGAAAAAATGTGATTTAAAAAAGAAAAAGCATACAGAAACTTTTCCTAGGCTATGTTGACTTTTGCACATGTATCTTTCTCAACAGCTATGAGCAAGATTTTCAGCTCCAGAATTAAGTGATAGGTTTGCTGTCTATAAAACCATTAAAGCAAGGAAGCAGAAGACAGAACAGGAATTTTTAGAGTGACCTTGATGCTAGCATATCCTGCTCATGTCCTGTGTGGTGCAGGGGGAACAGCATGGGAAGAAATTGCTGTTTTAGCACATGGTCTGCAGGAGAACAGAAAGGGCAGTAGAAACGCAATCTGAAAATAACATTAGCCATGACAGTGCGACCGTGAGGTCTTCCCGAGGAACAGTCTGCAGGAGCAGAGCTAGTCCCTGCATTTAAATGAACAAGCTTTTCGGACCAGGGATGTTGAACAGTTTTCCTCTTCAGCGCTCCTAAAAGACCCGACTGCACATAGCCCCTAATGGCAGCTTTTTAGTTTTTATTTGCCACGCTCAAGATATGTCCCTAAAGACTCAGTTGTAATGCTCCTCTCATTCTCCTAAATTGGGAATGGCAAGATAAGAATACTGAAGGTCTTTGTACTCTCGGCAGTAAAACATAGCGGAGATGAGAGTGAAAGGGTTCAGGAGCCTTGGAAATCATCCTCAGTTAGTTCCCTTCAAAAACCACCCCCGCTGGGGGAGGCACTGATGTGCAATAGTGGAGGTGGGAGCTGTGGCCTTTAAACATTTTGGAAAGAAAGTACTAGCTCCTTTGAAAGAGATGCTAATCCCAGGCTCCCTTAGAGATTCTGGTGAAAGTAAATTGCCACTTTTTTCAGTCCTGCCCTGCACGGCACCGCCAGCGTAGCTGCTGCTGCAAATAAGCAGACTTTCTACAGCAATTCAGTGGGTGTGCGGCTATGCGGCACATACAGGAGCCTTGCTGTTCGGCCGTGTCCTCATGCGTCCCTCCCCACTGCACTGCAGAAGGTACATTTCCATGGAGTGATGCTTTTTGCTCCACATTTCCCCTTTGCTTCACTACTGCTGTTTCTTTCCCAGGCCCATGTGTTTTCATGTGAGGTGCTCAGGGGCTGAACATCCTTTCTCCTGAATGTCATCAGTCTCATGCTGCATGGTGAAAGAAGATATTATAGCTGACACTGTCTGTCAGTTTGGATCATCCTTGAAATTTTCCTGACCGACACTCTGGCTCTCCGCTTTATTTCTGGCAAGCCATATGAAACTGTTTCATAAGTATATCATTAACATTTGAGTAATTTTGTTGCTTTTATTAACTTAAGCTAAGGCCATTTCTCTCTCTTCCTTGAAATTTTTAGTCTTTGAGTTTTCTCAGGTTGAAACATTTATTTTTCCTAGGCAACTTTTTCTAGGCAACGTGAAAGATATGGTTAATTATATGTTAACACTATGGCATAAATAACTCTATTAAATAAACTATCGCTATTCCGGTAGTTAGTCCATTGGCTAAATATGCATTAGTGACCATGATGGAGAAATAGAAAATATATGAGAAATTATAGAAACAGATTTTTGAGAAGCACTTTTGGAGCAATTCCAGTCTATCTGAGTGCTGCAGATGTTACCCAGGCTGCCTGCATTTGCAATGCATAGTAAAAATGATCAGAAGATTCTGATTAGTAAATGGAACATGTAATGTATTCCCAACAGACCATTCTCCCATAAGAAATAAGTCATTTTGAGCCCTGTTTATTTTTCAAAAGTGCAAAATAGAACTGATGCTGAGAAAACTTTGTGCAGAGTAGGGAAATTTTTTTTAATTTGAGGAACCCTGAATAGGTTAATTCACTTGAAACAGTTCTGCATTATTTTTAGCAAAGAATTTGATTGACAAGTGAGTCATGAAGAAGCCGTCAATCTGCACTTCCAGTGATTTGCAGTTTCTAAGGAACGCGGAGCTGAACGGCCCTCCTGTGCTGGGGTCCAGCCCCCACTATCGCACGCCACCACAAAGACTTTGCTGCTCATGAACAGAGTAGCTCCGTCTTTAAAATAAATAGGTATTTTGTCCATGTTGCTGCTTTCAAATGGCTGCTTTACAAAGCTCTCTTTGTCCTGTTTCCCAAAGATGAGTCTCCTTCAGAAAACAAAAGCAGTTGCAGCTGTGCGCGGTCGTCTCTCGCGGCGCTGCTGTGCGCTCTTACGTTATAGTGATGTTTAGCAATACAGATTTAATTCTTTCTTGACAACTCTTGCACCACAACAAATCACTTACGTTGCCTGTGATAGCATATACTCTGGAAACATGAAGGTATTTATTTATATGCTGTTTTGTCTGCTTTCATACAGTCTGCAATGGACAGTGAAGCAGTGGTAGGCACTGATGTGTCTGTTGGCATCTGCTACCAAGGAAGCGGCTTGTGCCGAAAATGGGCAGATTGTTGGAGACTGTCGAGTTCATATTCACCAAAAGCAAAATGCTCTGTGGTCAGGCCGCCTCGGTGGAAAGCATTACGCTCCTGTACATTGCTCTTCAGCTGCCTACAAGAGCTGCTGATGGACAGCCAGGAGCCGAGGCGGCCGCAGCTCTCCACACCTCCCAGCCCTGCCAGAGCACGGACGCTTGGCAGAGCTCCAGCGATCGGGGTTCAGGAGCCCCCTCTGTCCTCGGTCCCCAAGGCCACAGCTCCATGGCAGCTAGCGGGTGTCCCCCCAGCTGCAAGTGTTGGGTCTTCTACTTTATGGGACCTTTCAGATTTCTTTATAAACTGATTTTTGTGATCTCAGTCTTTACTGGAGAAGAGCTTTTCTGGGATAGGATTGCTTTTGCCGGCACAGCTGCCAGCTGTTGTTTCAGGCTAATCCATAAACTCAGACAGGCATTCACATCAGTTACAACTCCTCTTTTCTTCAGTTCTTTCCAAGAAGAATCTACAAAACCTAGAGATTTGTTCTCTGTAGCAACAAATGAGAAGGAAGACTCTGGAAAATAATTAGGAACTGTGACTATTTGCCATCTCCTTTGGCTTGCTAGGAATGCTCACGCTACAGAAAATGTATCTATGTTCATATACAATGTTGTAAAATATGTACATTTTTATTATATGTAAGCCACTCTACGTAAAGGGAAACTTCTGATGTTTCTTTCTACAGATCAGTTTTTGGATTGCAGAGCGGCTGACTTGTGAAGCTACGTGTGGGCACCCTAAGTGACCATGGAGAGGTGGAATTTGGTTGACTGTGTCATCAAACAACGTCCCACCTTGAAATGTGAATGTGTTGTCATGCTACATTTCAGCTGGGCAGAGTGAGGCCTGGTCAGGATTTGGTGAGCAGACCTTTCTGGGTTACTTGCATGCTATGTGAACTGTCTCTGGCAATTCAGTAAGTGCACTGACTTAACACTGCATCAGTATGCCAAAATGCAGCGACATAGCTTTGCGTTGCTGAGATCCCAGAATTTTTCTGATCAAAAATAGAAATTTTGAGCATTTCTACACAGTAAAGATACTGTAGCCTTGCTATAAAGAAGGCTGTTGTCATTCCAGTGCTTTGTAAACTTAATTCACATTTTTGCTTAATGTATTTTTAACTGTATTGAAAACTAATCAATTTTCTTTCCATGAGTTGTTAAATTTCTGGGGTATTAGCAGTGATTCTTGGCATGTACTCTGTTTTGCACTTTGATTTTGAGGCCTTCTCAGTCATAGGCTTTAAACAAACAAATAAGCAAGCAAGCAAGCAAACAAAAACTTTGCTGCTGACTCTACTACACTGATGTAACTGCACCTCTCTGTAGTTGAAAGTTATCAGTGACAGCTCTCCATTTATTTTATCACTGACTTTAAGAGATCATCAGAGCAAAGCCAACCATACAGCCTATATATATTGTTTTTTTTCATTTCCAAAAGAAATACCTCAATCTGCAGAATGAAAATCCCAGGCATCCTCTGTAAAATAATGCAGAATGAGAAAGGCTTGTAGTTCGGAAAGGAAGGTAAAGGAGGGGAAGTTCTGAGCCATTGCAGAAAGGGAGCTTCTGTCATTTCTGCCACTGAGGCTATGATTTCATTCAAGAGTTACAATAATTACTTTCTTTAAAAAGTAATTTGCCTCCTTATATGGTGTTTTTAATAAATTCAGCACTATTGTTGCAGATATGAACTTGCATTCCTGGAAAGTGCCATGGTGAAACGTGACCTCCAGAAATTCAGTCCTCCTTAGTGATTTTTGTTATGTTGTTTTATTTTTTTTTACAGATCCATCAACTTTTAGGCCAGATGAGATCACAGCAATTGTTTTGTCTGGCTTTCTCCATAACACCAATCATAACCAGGCACAAATTAATTCCTTTTTGAATTGCAGCCTATATTTCAGTCAAGAAATCCTATTTTTATGTAAACAAAGGCAGTGATGGAGAACCCACAATAGCATTTACTAAATCATTTCAGTGGTTTATAACCCCCGCTTAGAAAAATTGTAATCTCCTTTCCAATCTGATTTTGTCCAGCTCTGAAGAGCAGCCCTAGGCTACTGTCATACAAAGCTGAAAAGCCCATGACCAAAGTTTTTCTCTCTGTGTAGGTGCAGAGACTGTGATCTTGTCTGCCCTTAACCTTTTCTTGGGCAAACTAAACAGATTTCAGATGAACAGTTTTTTTTTATCATCATCTCACCTGCTCCAGAGAGTCCTAGCAGAACTGAATACCACAGACAAGATGAGAAGCCTCTGTTATCCACGCATATGCCACAGATGCATGTAGCACTAATGTTATTTTTTTGTTTTTGTGCAGCCTTTGCATGCGCTTAGGAGATGGTCAAGCTTTACAGGCCGTGATGGAGCTTAGCTCCCCCCACCAGCCCAACCACAGCTTCCTGCCCTTTCCAGCCATTTATAGGGCAGGGCTGTCACCAGATATTTCAGCGCATAAACACAAGTGATCCCTAACCCGCTTCAGTCAAAATGATCCAGGTCAAAACAAAAACAAAACAAAACAAAACAAAAACACCAACAAAAAGACAGCAACACCTTATTGAAAGTGTTTAGGCTAACCTAGATCCTGGTGACAGAATGCGGCTAAAAGGATTATATGTGCAGTTATACCAGGTCAACTGCAGTGAGAGTGTGGTATCTGAGCTCAGCCAAACCTTCTCCTTGCTTTGTCCAAGGTCATGCACTGAGCAGATTTTTCCATTCCTTCCAGTCCTTACTCGGAACTATTTTTTCCTGGATGTCTTCATCTGACTTCGTATCTGATTACAGGTGCACGTTATTCAAGACCTTTCTCAAATGTGCATTACCTTGGATTTTTGACAGCAAACCTCACCAGACATTGTTCTGCCCACACACTTGTTTCATTGGAGCCTGTGACTTTCGTCATGCTCTTTACCATCTCTGGAGGAACTAAAATCACTTTGCTCTAGCTTCAGATTTTGTTGATTCTTTTAGCCAAAAAAAAAAAAAAAAGGCTCTTTGAAGTTGTTAAGCAATTGCCACTCATGAGATTGACCATTTTTTTACCGTTAACCTTTTACAAGTTTCTCTTAAATGAGTTATTTTATAAGTTCACGTTAAATTATTGCACGGGACCCTAGTGGTACAGTTCTGGGGACTGACGCATCTGTAACCATCAATGTTGTCCTCAGAGATCTTTTAAAGAAAGGCACAGTGTTTATCAGTCTCCATTCATCCATTATAATCATTACTTTCTCATTATGGCTCCCTTTCTCTTAAGTTCCTTCAGAAATCTAGCCCTAAAGTCACGGTTCCTGCTGTACAAGGCTTTAGGAGAGGTTAGGTCCTCTCTAGTAACCGCTTATTATAGAAACCTCCACAAAGCATCACCATAGCAGAAATGTTAGTACAACTGTGTCTTGAGCATGTTTCTGCCATCGCATTCTCTTTCTCTGAGGATCCATAGGAATATGGTAAGAAAAAAGTTATTCTCAGCATAATGGAGACATAATCCTATGCTATCTGTGTACAAGTGTCCACTTAATGTTGATGGGGGCTCCCTTCATCTCTCAGCTATCCTGACCTCTGCATGTCACGTTCTTCCTGCTCATCTCTATTTGCATAAATGCAGAGAGAATGTATTTGAACAAATGAAATTAAACTTTTTGCCCTTGCCTGTTTAACTAGTAGTATATCTGTCAAAAGCTATTGGCTTTGTCAAGAAAATCTTCCCACAAACTTGCTCTCCAGAGCCTTCTGGCATTTACCTATGGGCTTACAATGTATTGTCTTTTCTGTGTCTTCTCAGGATGGATTCATGAAACCAAATCTTAAATTTTCTATGACATGAAGTTAATTTCACCTAAAGAAGTTGAGGAAAGGCAAAGGCAAAGGCAAAGGCAAAGGCAAAGGGAAGAAGCCCTTTTATTATTTTGGTAGAGAAAAGGTGCTTTCTCACTCCCACACGGCACAGAAGGAATATTAACATTGTCCACTTAAATCAACAAGTCAGCTTTGGGACTGCATTTGCAACATGTTAAGCCAAAATATAAATGTTTCTGGAAACCTGAAGAATGTGAATGTGAGTTTAGAGTTGGAAGAGCCTTGAAATTTCACCTGTCTTGGGTGCTACTGAGGTTTCATTGTTGTATAAATACAAATTCACCTTTGATTTGACTTAGTGGACTTCCTAATGAACTATTCTGTGACTGCTTTGTTTTTAAATTAACTATCCTTTCATTCAATAATTGGTCTATGACTATAATTGCTAATCTTTCAGGCAGAACCTATTAAAAACAAATTAACTTGTTCCAAACTCTGGTGATTTTATGATTGTATAGATCAATATAAATCACAGTTAATTAACCTTTTTATCACTGAGCCATTTCAACATGAGCCATATTGCAGCATTGCAGTAATTGGTCGTATTCCTACCTCTCCATACCTGCTCTGTAGTGATATTAATGCACAATAATAATGGAGGCTGAAACTAGACAACTCAAGCTGCCTGCTACACAGCAACTATGATATGATGGTGTAATTAGATAGTGTTTATCTGCATAAGAAAAAAACTTCAGAAATATGAGCAGAATCTGAAAAATAATAATAACAAAAAAACCCAAGAAACAAAAAACAAGCCAAGTGAAAATAGCGCTTGAATCTTTGTTTCCTTTGCAAATATTATCAGAGTTGTTACAAGGCATAATTTTGGCTGCAGTGCAATGAATACACAAAAACCTCAGCTAATTAAGATCACAAATATTTCTTAAAATGTTCAAGCCAAAATGCGTAAAAACGTATAGTCTGGACAGCCTGGTTTTTTTCATACAAAATTGTAATGAATTCTGTAAATTTCTGTAATAAATGTCTCTAATTGCTATTAACACTCCCATTCAAGATTTCAGTAGTAAAACAGGACTGAATTTACCAATATATGAATTTCTTGATATTGCCTCAGTGTCGCTGCAGGCCAGCTTCTGTTGCTCTTGCTGTATGGAGCTTGCACTACACAGTAATATGGTGCCTATTTTTAAGGGGCCCTAAAGATAACGTAAAGAAGATCTGCCAAATACAGCGTGGCCAAGTTGAATTTAGTTATGTGCTTTCTACTCATCCCAGGGGAAATGTTGTCTCATCTGAAGACAGTGGCAGTTCTGCTATTAATCTCAGTGGAGGTGGGATTTCTCCGTCAATTTTAAATTCAAAAAGATCTTAGAGGCAGGGCAGTGCTTTTTGTTGCTGATCTTGTTGATTCACACACTATGCTCTCTAACTCCCTGCTCGTGTTTTGTGGACAGCAGTCACGTTTTCATGCTTGTCTAGAAAGCGTCTTTTGGGAGTAATACACCCAAAAGAGGTGCAGTGATAACTCTTCTGAGGTTAATTTTTAAGCTTAAACTCTGAGGAACAATGTGCTTACGTCTCTGAATGACGGTTTAAAAAAAAAAAAAGAAGAAGAAGAAGCAGCAGCGAGGCCAAATTCTGTGTTGATGCAGGATAATGAGTGTGGGAAGAAGGTAAATTTTATTAAATCAGGTGACACGACAGGAGAATTAGTAAACTTTAAGATACAAGATATCTGACAAGATGCTAAGATATTAATGTTGACCTAGTAAAAGCTATTATTATCGGTCTCTGTAAACCTAGTCTCACTTATATCCCTAGGCTAACATGGCTGTAGCAATGCCGTGCTTGCTGTGCATGCAGTCCAGGACACAAGAGGCTGACCTGCAAGCACCTCCTCACCTTTCAGTTTTACACTTCTTTATTAGCAGGTGATTACCTGTGGTCTGCCAATTTTTATCAGCTTCCAGATGCTTTGTTTTCATAGCCCCAGAATATTGTGAGACTCTCCAGGCAGTAATATTAAAAATATTACCGCTCGTCAGGATTGCTTTCCTGAATCGGGACCCTGTGGGGATATCCCCATTGGCAGCCACACACCAGAGCTCAGCAGGCTTACAAATTTTGATGTGTAAAGAGGTACAATTTAAAATACGGATTTTTTCTGTTTATAGTGAAAGACTGTGATCCAGAAATTCCTGACACCCAAGGCTATTTCCTGCACTGACCTTCTCCTCCTTTGCCTTTGTATTTATTTGGCTGGAGAAGCAAATTAGCTTAAAATGATCAACATGATTTAAATATTTTCAAAGGTATTTGAAATACTTTTAGATCCTAAGCATGATCCCACATTCTTGGAAATGGGATTTTCATGACTGTGGAAAAATTTTTGAAAGTTGCTGGTGTGGGTTTTTTTTTTCTCTTTCTTTTTTTCTGTTGTCATAAAATGCCTACTTAGTATGTAGCCATCTTACTGGTCGATAACAAACAGCACCACCTAAGCACAGGGCTCATTTATAGTTTTAAAGATTTTAACTCCAAAATATTAACATCTTCCTTTACAGTCCTGTTGAGATGAATAAATGTTTACCTCAGTCCGAACTGCCTAGTTCAATTAATCATTTATTATACCGGTTAGATGTGTGGATGACTGTTTCTACTTGCTGGGTTTAAGTAATAGTGCAATATCCCAGTCTTTCTTACCTCATATCATCACTGCGTGATTCCTGCAGCCAGTGGTTAATGCAATACATCCTTGGAAACCTCAATCCTGTTAGTTTAATTGACTTACTGCAGTAGAAAAGGATAAACATGAGCTGATAACATGTATCGTATCTCACACTAGAGGAGATATCTGCAGGTCATGATTTAAGCACCTCACAAAGTAGTTTACTTTCCTTGTCTCTCAAAACAGAGAGAGAAAATAAGCCTGAAGTTGACGTTTATTCCCTCTTCCCCTCTCTCTTCTCTGATCTCTGTAATATTTTTCAGATTTTGGGGGGGGGTCTATTTTCATTTGTCACGTTCCCTTGGATTTCTATGTTTTGTTGGGCTTTTTCCTCTAAGAATTTTACACTGGCTGTGCCTGTTTCTCCATGAGTGAGACCTGCATCAGCCTCAAGGTAATGGTGGTTTGCATACATACTTGGTTTGGATTTCAGAAGTGTTTTTTGTTAGTAGCATTTTTGAGACACTCTGTGAATTATACCAAGAAAAGGCAAGTAGATGAGTGAAAATCACCAAAAAAAGGGGGGGTTTCAAAGAAATTTAGAAACTTTCCCATTTCTGCTCTACAGTTTATATGTAAAAAGAAAAAAACTCTTAACACTAAAAAGGAAGCCAGTAAAAAATACTATATCAAAGCCATTTCTGGAAAAGAATTCCCACTAAGTAGGTATTTAAAGTAGAGAAAATTACCTTATGCTGGCCTCTGAAACATCTCAGCTGAACTACATTACCCTGATGGGCTTAAAAATGAGAAAAATTCTGGCATGAAAAATGCTTGCTAGGTATTGTAGCTTTGGTAAAATTTGCTTGATGATAGTTCAGATTGTCAGTTGCTGGTCTCTGACATTACATTTCGTATCAACATTTGTACCTGGCATGCAATTTGTTCATAGAGGAGCTTTAGGAAAAAATTAACTTCTGGTACAATTTAGGGCTGATTTCCGAAGCAAAGACTAAGAAATTTGACTGTTTCAGGATCATCAGTTGTTTGTGTCCTTGGATAAGCTGAGCGGTTTTACTGGACCGTCATTTTTGTAGTTACAGAGGATTCTTCAGATGTTCTATTCCTGTTTTTCTCACGTGGATCCTCTCTTCCTATACTCTCCAGCAGGCACACTTTTAGGAATTTGAGAATATATATACAAACAGCTTACGAGCCATGCTTCTTGATATTTATCAACTCAAAATAAACCCTTTTTTTGCCTTGAGAAGGGGATTAAATAAAATAACAAGGTGAATGCTGGACCCAGCTAAAAAAGAAAGACTTTGTGAATTAGTTTATTTTAAATGGTATTTGAGCAGGTAGGAGTAGAGTATTTATACTGGGCTCGAAGTGCTGAGAAAGATCATTTCAAAAGAAAAAAAAAAAAAGATATGTTCTGTCCTGATGCACTAGTTTCAGAATATTGTGACGTTTACATTCTAACGATAACTAAACTTTGATCTTTGGGAATTTATAAAGAGCTTGATTTGCTGTGATTTTGCCACCCCCCCCGAGGGAGCTAGATGCACCCTGCAAACCTCACAAGGGTTATGCAAACAAAAAGAAGGCAGCACAGTACTGGGAAAGGTGGCTGTTTGGAATATATATGCACAGAGAAGTTATGGGATTAACCAGACTGAACTCAGTGGTTTGGTTAAGGGTAGCCACACAAAACCAGCGCAAACAAACACGTAGGAGAAGAGGGACCTAAAGGCATAAAACTGAATCTCTCTAGCTTTCCCTGATGCCAGCTCTTGAGATGTTTGGAGGCAATGGGCTGAAGGAATTGCTGGACTTCTGCTTTACTCCTGAGCCGCTCAGCAGAAACAGCAGGCAGCAGCACTAGTGCAGGGAGCAAAGCCTATGACAGCCCTTCGCAGGAGTAAATGGCCTAATTCTGGGTATGACTTAATAAAATACAGCTGACACTTTTCTCAGACCGAGGTGGAGGCTAAGGTGACTACATATGTTTGCATGGTGTCCTAACACAAATATCTACTTTAATAGTTGATCATCTCTGACATGAGGTGCCGAAAATATTTGCACTGCTGGTGAAATACTGGCATTCGGATACTGCTGCAAGTCGAGTTCTCATCGTTCAGTAGAGACATCGCTCATTTTCTGTTCCCTCGGAGGTAGAAGAAAACACTTTTGCCTCAGAAATTTTTGCTTCCCAAAGCCCAGCAGTTATTCAGTTTTCAGGAATTATTGTATTTGCTTGGGGTCACGGGAAAATTGGCCGCACTTAGCGTGAATACAATAGGAACGAGAAATAGTACCTTGGTTTGTACTCTTGAGTGTTGGATCCTGGCAGGCAAGTCCTGTAACTCAATGATATATTAATAAACATGTTCTAGGCAGGGAGGGGGTATTCACAGAAGGCCAGTACATAATGGCAGGGAGCCAAAGGCTTCTCTGCGTTGGCAATCATCTACTACCGTAACTATCCAGGAGGATGTTGCGCTTCTGCAATTTCAAGAAGCCTTTATGTGAGTTACAGTCTCCCAAGGACACCTGCCCAAAGGTGAGTTTCACCAAATGCCCTTCAGAGGCCAATGTGGGAGGTAATCAATTAACTCTTAGGAAAGACAAGCTGAGCAACATTTAATTAAATCAACTATTTTCTCCTGGCTTGAAGTTTTGCGGTAAAACAGAATGCTTTAGATAATCTGGGTCTGATAAAGCGTGCTAGAGACTATCAAGTGATGTTCTGTGTCCTCAGATTAATTGAATGATACCATTCGTAGGCATCTTATTACTGGCATTGATGAATAGAAAATATCTGCAGTGAGGGAAATATGTTTTTGCTGGTAGAATTCTTGCATAAGCTACTCATACAATAATTCTATACTTTAAATGATATAATATTACATTGCGTAATGAAATGCAATTCTCACATC